ACTTCGCTTTAACTGCAGCGGAGAAAAAAAATCAAGTCTCATATCCTGCCAAACATCAGGACTGAATGAATACAAATTCAAAAACATCTCCCATAATATATATATATTTATCTGTTTGTAGTTCTGCTTTAAAAGGTAACTCCACCTTTCTGAGCATGGTTCATGTTACACTTACAGTATATTTAGAGTGTAATATGAACCATGGTCAGAATGCACAGCCCCCAAACTGCCCCTCTTTTGTTTTTCAGAATTGCAGCGTCTCCCTTTCTGCAGCACCCTGTTAAATTTGAAATCGGCGCAGATGTGTGTGATTCCACCTGCACAGTTGCATCATTCATTCACAGGAAGTTGTAAATGAAAATACTACAAGTGCCATCTGCCACCATAATATAGACTAGGGGCTGAAGGGAGAGTCTGCAGAAGCTACAACATTGGATGTGCGATCCACTGATCAGGGGTGCAATACTTTACAATGCAAAAAAATAATAAATGCAAATTGTTTTGCACAATGGGTGCATTTATTTATTTTGCAAAAAAAGTGGAATTTTCCATTAAGTATTCTGAAGATGTTGTAGGATAGACCACACTTTAATTCACATTAGTTTTCAGTACTGAAAGCTTTGCACCAGCAGCACCAGATGTGCAGCAACCTTCTATATTTTTAACTGAAATATCAGGCACAAATGCACTTCTTCTGGCATTAATAATACTCAGTGCTTATTATTAGAGATGAGCGAATTATTCAAAAATTCGATTCGGCTGATTCACCGAATTTGAGGAAGAAATTCGATTCGATGCGAATTTATTCGCTACGAATTCAACTTATAAAAAGGGTTTCTAGGCTTCAGAGAGCCTTTATATTAGTGCAGAACACTGTACCTTTAATTTAAATGCCCTTGGAGATGAGGAAGGAGAAGGAGAAGGATGAGAAGAAGGAGAAGGATGAGAAGAAGGAGAAGGATGAGAAGAAGGAGAAGGATGAGAAGAAGGAGAAGGAGAAGGATGAGAAGAAGGAGAAGGATGAGAAGAAGGAGAAGGATGAGAAGGAGAAGGATGAGAAGAAGGAGAAGGAGAAGGATGAGAAGAAGGAGAAGGATGAGAAGGAGAAGGATGAGAAGAAGGAGAAGGATGAGAAGAAGGAGAAGGATGAGAAGAAGAAGAAGGATGAGAAGAAGGAGAAGGATGAGAAGAAGGAGAAGGAGAAGGATGAGAAGAAGAGAAGGAAGGATGAAGAAGGAGAAGGAGAAGGATGAGAAGAAGGAGAAGGATGAGAAGAGGGAGAAGGATGAGAAGAGGGAGAAGGATGAGAAGAAGGAGAAGGATGAGAAGAAGGATGAGAAGAAGGAGAAGGATGAGAAGAAGGAGAAGGATGAGAAGGATGAGAAGAAGAAGAAGAAGGAGAAGGAGAAGGATGAGAAGAAGGAGAAGGAGAAGGATGAGAAGAAGGAGAAGGAGAAGGATGAGAAGAAGGAGAAGGATGAGAAGAAGGAGAAGGATGAGAAGAAGGATGAGAAGAAGGAGAAGGATGAGAAGAAGGAGAAGGATGAGAAGAAGGAGAAGGATGAGAAGAAGGAGAAGGATGAGAAGAAGGAGAAGGATGAGAAGAAGGATGAGAAGGAGAAGGATGAGAAGAAGGATGAGAAGAAGGATGAGAAGAAGGAGAAGGATGAGAAGAAGAGGAAGGAGAAGGATGAGAAGAAGGAGAAGGATGAGAAGAAGGAGAAGGATGAGAAGAAGGAGAAGGATGAGAAGAAGAAGAAGGATGAGAAGAAGGAGAAGGATGAGAAGAAGAAGGATGAGAAGAAGAAGAAGGCTGAGAAGAAGGAGAAGGATGAGAAGAAGGAGAAGGATGAGAAGAAGGAGAAGGATGAGAAGAAGAAGAAGGATGAGAAGAAGGAGAATTCCAAGCCGGCAAAAGTGTATCTGCAGAGCTCCGCTATTTCTTAGCGGAGCTCTGCAGATACACTTAGCGGAGCTCTGCAGATACACTTTTTGCCGGCTTGGAATTCTTCTTATTTTCAACCTACTTCTTCTTCTTCTTCATCCTCATCCTCATCCTCAGAAGAAGAAGAAGTAGGATGAAAATAAGAAGAATTCCAAGCCGGCAAAAAGTGTATCTGCAGAGCTCCGCTAAGTGTATCTGCAGAGCTCCGCTATTTCTGACAGTTCTCTGACATTCACTCCATACAGCGGTTGAAACATTGTATCTATTTGTTTCCATAAATGGAAACAAATAGATACAATGTTTCAACCGCTGTATGGAGTGAATGTCAGAGAACTGTCAGAAATTGTATCATTTATGGAAACAAATAGATACAATGTTTCAACCGCTGTAAATGTGAATGTCAGAGAACTGTCAGAAATAGAGGAGCTCTGCAGATACACTTTTTGCCGCCTTGGAATTCTTCTTATTTTCATCCTACTTCTTCTTCTTCTTCTTCATCCTCATCCTCAGAAGAAGAATGAAAAGAAGAAGAATGAAAAAGAAGAATGAAAAGAAGAAGAAGAATGAAAAGAAGAAGAAGAAGAATGAAAAGAATGAGAGAAGAATGAAAAGATTCTTCTTCTTCTTTTCATTCTTCTTTTCATTCTTCTTCTTCTTTTCATTCTTCTTCTTCTTCTTCTTTTCATTCTTCTTTTCATTCTTCTCATTCTTCTTTTCATTCTTCTCATTCTTCTTTTCATTCTTCTTTTCATTCTTCTTTTCATTCTTCTTTTCATTCTTCTTCTCATTCTTTTCTTTTCATTCTTCTTTTCATTCTTCTTTTTCATCTTTTCATTCTTCTTCTTTTCATCTTTTCATTCTTCTTCTTTTCATCTTTTCATTCTTCTTCTTTTCATTCTTCTTTTCATTCTTCTTCTTTTCATTCTTCTTTTCATTCTTCTTCTTTTCATTCTTCTTTTCATTCTTCTCATTCTTCTTCTCATTCTTCTTTTCATTCTTCTTCTTTTCATTCTTCTTTTCATTCTTCTTTTCATTCTTCTTCTTTTCATTTTTCTTTTCATTCTTCTCATTCTTCTTTTCATGAAGAAGAAAAGAAGAATGAAAAGAAGAATGAAAAGAAGAAGAAGAATGAAAAGAAGAATGAGAAGAATGAAAAGAAGAATGAAAAGAAGAAGAAGAATGAAAAGAAGAAGAAGAAGAATGAAAAAGAAGAAGAAGAAGAATGAAAAGAAGAAGAAGAAGAATGAAAAGAAGAATGAGAAGAAGAATGAGAAGAATGAAAAGATTCTTCTTCTTCTTCTTCTTTTCATTCTTCTCATTCTTCTTTTCATTCTTCTTCTCATTCTTCTTCTCATTCTTCTTCTCATTCTTCTTTTCATTCTTCTCATTCTTCTTTTCATTCTTCTTTTCATTCTTCTTTTCATTCTTCTTCTCATTCTTCTTTTCATGAAGAAGAAAAGAAGAATGAAAAGAAGAATGAAAAGGAATGAAAAGAAGAATGAAAAGAAGAATGAGAAGAATGAAAAGATTCTTCTTCTTCTTCTTTTCATTCTTCTTTTCATTCCTCTTCTTCTTTTCATTCTTCTTCTTCTTTTCATTCTTCTTTTCATTCTTCTCATTCTTCTTCTCATTCTTCTTCTTCTTTTTCATTCTTCTTTTCATTCTTCTTCTTCTTCTTTTCATTCTTCTTCTTCTTCTTTTCATTCTTCTCTTTTAATTCTTCTCATCTTCTTTTTCATTCTTCTCATTCTTCTCATTCTTCTTCTCATTCTTCTTTTCATTCTTCTTCTCATTCTTCTTCTCATTCTTCTTTGAGAAGAATGAAAAGAGGAATGAGAAGAAGAATGAGAAGAATGAAAAGAAGAAGAATGAAAAGAAGAAGAAGAATGAAAAGAAGAAGAAGAAGAATCTTTTCATTCTTCTCATTCTTCTTTTCATTCTTTTCTTCTTTTCATTCTTCTTCTTTTCATTCTTCTTCTTCTTTTCATTCTTCTTTTCATTCTTCTTCTTCTTCTTCTTTTCATTCTTCTTTTCATTCTTCTTCTTCTTCTTTTCATTCTTCTCATTCTTCTTTTCATTCTTCTTCTTCTTTTCATTCTTCTTTTCATTCTTCTTCTTCTTCTTTTCATTCTTCTTCTTCTTCTTTTTTCATTCTTCTTTTCATTCTTCTTCTTCTTTTCATTCTTCTTTTCATTCTTCTTCTCATTCTTCTTTTCATTCTTCTTCTTTTCATTCTTCTTTTCATTCTTCTTCTTCTTCTTTTCATTCTTCTTCTTCTTCTTTTCATTCTTCTTTTCATTCTTCTCATTCTTCTCATTCTTCTTCTTATTCTTCTTTTCATTCTTCTTTTCATGAAGAAGAAAAGAAGAATGAAAAGAAGAATGAAAAGAAGAAGAAGAATGAGAAGAAGAATGAAAAGAAGAAGTATTCCAGTACAGCAAAAAGTGTATCTGCAGAGAGCTCCGCTATTTCTAACAGTTCTCCGACAGTTCCTTCACATTTACAGTGGTTGAAACATTGTATCTATTTCCGAATAAAAACATCTGTATCCTAAATGGAAACAAATAGATACAATGTTTCAACCGCTGTACATGTGAAGGAACTGTCAGAGAACTGTCAGAAATAGCGGAGCTCTCTGCAGGGACACTTTTGCCGGCTGATCGGGAAAAATCCGATTCGCGCACCCGAAGTATGCTAATATTCGGATTCGCCGCGAATCGAATTTTTCCTGAAATTCGAAACGAATTCCACTTCGCCTGGTTCGATTCGCTCATCTCTACTTATTATTTTGGTTTTATCCACAAATGGGTCAGCTGCCCAGTTTCAATAGGTGTATTTTATTTCATAACTTTTTAAAAAACATATTACAGCGTTAAAATAAAATGTCAAATACTTGACGGGAACACTGGAAAGCAAACAGTGTAAGTTTTCCCTTCTCCACCCATTGACTAATGTCTAAAGAATGGGTTCACCCTTCTGGCAGAGAGTGGCCAAAAAGATCATGCCTACCGAGTTCATGAGAATGCATGATAAAACACAGTCACATCTCAAACTGCAGATCATGAATTACAACAGGTGACAGGAAATCCCTCCAAAGTAAGGGGAAATCCCTGGATGTCATCAGGGTCACCAGAACCAGTATCCCTATTAGAAAAATTCCCCTTTATTCCTGTTCTGTGACCATTCAAAGTGTATGATTCTTTCACTCTGTGATAATGGTAATCAAACTTATGGAGAGGGTGAAACTTCATAACAGGGACTCATACAAAAAAGGCAAACACCTAACAGGGGTTCTAATTCCTCTTCACTGTGTCCGAAACTAAAATAACATTTTGCATATAGTTCAGCTCTTGCTCCTGTATATATGAAGTCCAAATCAATTAAAAATCCCACAATGTGTGTTGACGACTTCTCAATTACGTTCAGTTTTCATATGAAATGTGTGACCAACCACCACCACAATAAGTAAATGGGTGTATCCTCACCTCATAAATTGGACCTCACTGTATTGTAGAGGTCAAAGTCGCTTAGGGTATGCCACAATGCACACTCCAGGTGCTCCTGTTGAAACTGTTATCTAGGCACTTCCTCTTGTGCAGGTCTCTCCCATTTCTGATTTGCCAAATAGGCCTATTTGTAGGAAGGTGTTAACTCATTCCTTAGCTAAGGACTCCTTCTTTACAGGAAGTGAGCTGTTGTCCCTGGCCCTCTGCCCGTATCCCTATATAAGGTGGGCAAAGCCTAGGAGAACCGGAGTTGTGGTATACCGTGGACAGGAAAAATGTGTTAAGAGGGTTGGTTCCCTAATTACAGGCCTGCCCTAAAAAAGAAAAATGACTTTATAGCTTTACCAGTAGATATGGGTTTATTATATTGAAGCCTGCTTTGTTTGGAAGTATTACTCTTGACTTTTTGGAATTTGCTTCTGACTTGAGTAGGATTATTCAAGAGGATGTCAATACCTGAATGGAGTGTCTAAGGTGAGCTAGTACATAGTTAGGCTGCAGCTGGCTGAATGGGTATAAACCATGTACACTACATGAGTGCTGTTGGACAGGGTCCTGGATATAAGGAACACAGTGTAAACCTGGTTGGGAGTGGTGGGGATCAGAAGCAGAAGAAGCCTTATTAGTGTTGACATGGGCTGCTGTGTGACATGGGCCCCAGGAACTCAGCTAGACTTTCAGAGCCCTGAACTGGAACCACAGAGAAACACAAAGTGAATACTCTCAGCCACTTATAAGTCGCTGCTTTGTTGGACCAGGGGGTGGTGTGTAGTGTAGACTTTTCAACCTGCCATCTGTACACAAAGAAGCACGCAATGCACTCTGCATGGGCTGTGAGGCGGTTGTGGGCTGAAGGGTAGGCCCCCATGACAGCCCTATAATGTAGTGGGCCCCCTAGCAGAAGGTTGAGTACTGAGGATAATGAGGAACCTGACCTGTTTGCTTTGTAATCTGAAATTAATGCAGTTTTTGACAATTCAACAATCAGTAAACATTCTGGATTTTTCAGAATAAGAGCACTTTTAATGCTGGTCATACAGTGTGCTCCAGAGCTCCTTCTGCTTCCACAGACTACTAGTACCCTTTCTCTCCCTCCCAGAGAGTACTGGGTCTCCTCTTTCCCCCTACAAAACATCAATGTCCCCCCTCTTTCCCCAATAAGCACCCATGCCAGTCCTCTTCCCCTACTGAGAGCCAGTGCCCCTTCGTTCCCCCAAGAATTTTTACCCCCTATTAACTACCAACCCCTGGCATTTTTTTCCACCCACTTACCACTGCTACTGACCTTTTTTTTTCCTTCTGCTGACCACCAGCATTTGGTATTTCGGGCAGTGCCCAAGTTTCCAAATGGTCAGTCCGCCCCTGCTCTGAGTATATTAATATAGCTGTTGTTAAAGGTAGGCTCAGTCAAAGTGTTAGCTCTTTAGGTTTATGTGCATCTGTGCAAGTATTACTCGTGGTACAATAAGTAAGTAGTATTTTGTGGGTACAAGAACTACAAGCAGTTTTAGACTATGTCAAACCATGTTCCTTTTTGTCATACCCATTATCCAGCTTAGTGTTCACTGGTCTTCAAAAAGCCAGGCAGAAGGCTGGGAGGTGGAAGAGAAGCCAAAGCATCAGCATGACAGCCAAGCAATTAACATTTTAAAATAGATAAGACAGTAATGGAAACCTATAAACCTTCAATCTGGAGCTGCTCCCCCCCCACAGTACTTTCCCTCTATCACAAGATGTCCTTAGTCTTCCAGGTTCAAAGACGCCCAGGGTCAATGGAGCTGTAGTTCTCTAACTTCAGGTTTACTTAAAGCAGAACTTCACTCTCTCAATCAAGGTTGACTATTCTAAATCCTTGAAAAAATAAATAAATATGCAGCGCTTTTGAAATTAAATATGAACAAGCATAAAAAACAGAACATGAACAGCATAACTGCATGACAAATTCAGTCCATATTGCATGGTGCGATAAAGTGATAGGTGCAATTGTCCCAATAATTCATGTTCAGAGAAGTTCGTGACTCTTGTGATCTCGTGATTTGTACAAATAATGCACTAACCAGATAGCGCAACCAATGCGCATGGAGCAATTGACCCGCTCCTGGTGCTCTGGACTTGTAGTATTAGGAAGATGTCATCTGCAGGTTTGGCCACCAGATGTCATCAATCCAGGTATATGGGTAAGTCATCCACCAGAAAGATCATCAGCGGGGGAGGGGGTGATCATGCATCATTCCCAAATGGACGTAACCTTCAAAAGCGGGCTCCCATAACATAGATGAGACCCAGAGAAGCCTCTGATAGTGTAGTATGTTTATTAAGTAAAAACTTACACCAGATACAATTGGAGGAAAAACTTACATCAAAGCAAGGTCAGGCCACCAGGGTGTCAATCAGGATGGCTTAGTGGTATGCATACACAGGTCAAGGGCACCTCCCTAACGCGTTTCGTGTGCAAAACACTCCCTCTGAGGAAGTGTTTTGCACACGAAACGCGTTAGGGAGGTGCCCTTGACCTGTGTATGCATACCACTAAGCCATCCTGATTGACACCCTGGTGGCCTGACCTTGCTTTGATGTAAGTTTTTCCTCATGTAAGTTTTTACAATTGTATCTGGTGTAAGTTTTTACTTAATAAACATACTACACTATCAGAGGCTTCTCTGGGTCTCATCTATGTTATGGGAGCCCGCTTTTGAAGGTTACGTCCATTTGGGAATGATGCATGATCACCCCCTCCCCGCTGATGATCTTTCTGGTGGATGACTTACCCATATACCTGGATTGATGACATCTGGTGGCCAAACCTGCAGATGACATCTTCCTAATACTACAAGTCCAGAGCACCAGGAGCGGGTCTTAATTGCTCCATGCGCATTGGTTGCGCTATCTGGTTAGTGCATTATTTGTACAAATCACGAGATCACAAGAGTCACGAACTTCTCTGAACATGAATTATTGGGACAATTGCACCTATCACTTTATCGCACCATGCAATATGGACTGAATTTGTCATGCAGTTATGCTGTTCATGTTCTGTTTTTTATGCTTGTTCATATTTAATTTCAAAAGCGCTGCATATTTATTTATTTTTTCATGTTTCTATGGGTCCCAAGGTTACCTTTTATGCTAGCTGCTTCACTTATGTACTCCCAGCGCTCTATTACCTACTTATACATATTCTAAATCCTTATGCTGCTTGCATTAGAAAAAAAAAGATAGGACAGTATATAATTTTTACCTGTTTTAAACACTTTTTACATTTCTTTGGTTACTTCCTGGTTTTTGTGTCTAGGAAAACAATGTCATACATTCCGAGAGTCTTCAGGAGGGGAGGAGGGGTTTTCTCAGCTAAGCACACCCTCCTGCCTGCATGTCTGAGCTAAGGGCAGATGGATTCCAAGAAGTAAATGCCACATGCATTATCTGCCCTGACTCAAGATGGCCACTGCCAGAAATACTGGGGGTGTGGGGGTTCTCAGCAAAATAAAGAATGGAGACAAGGATGGATGGGAGAGTTTGCTTTGAATTGTAAAAATGAATTAAAGTGGTTCTAAAGGCTCAGGGTTTCTACCTTTCATGCATTATATGCCTGAAGGTACAAAACCTTCAATGTGCAGCGCCCCCCCAGCCTCCCTCCCAATCTTTACCTGATCCCCTCCAATCCAGCATGGTTCATTAAAACCATGTTCTGTATGGGGACTCTCCCTCCTGATTGACTGAGACAGCAGCGCGAGCCCATTGGCTCTCACTGCTGTCAATCACAGCAAGTGAGCCAATGAGCGGGGGGCAGGGCCAAGCCCCAGCTCTATGAGTCTTATGCAGCATGGAGCAGTGACTCAGGGACAAGCACGCATCGGTGCCCCCAGGGCAAGCAGCTTTCCCTGAGGGCACTGCTTGAGGGGGAGGAGCCAGAGCGCCAGAAGGGGACTGAAAAAGAAGAGGATTGGGGCAGCTGTGCGCAAAACTACTGCACAGAGCAGGTAAGTATGACATGTTTTTTTTTTTTTTTTTTTTTTTTAAATAAAGCTTTAGTATCTTTAAACAGCGCTTTTGCTTTGCGGTGTTCAAATACAGTGTAGTTCCCCTTTAACTTCCAGCAGGTTTCACCTCTTTCATGACCACGGCATTTTTTGCTATTAAGTACAATGCTGGCAGTTGTCCGGTAATACAACACTGCACCCAAATTAAATTTTATTATTTTTTTTCACACAAATATAGCTTTTTGTGGTATGTACTCACCACTGGGTTATTAATTTTTTGCTATATAAATGAAAAAATACCCAAATTTTTGCAAACAAATAATCTTTCTTCATAAATTTAGGCCAAAATGTATTCTGCATCATTTCTTTGGTAAAAAATAACCCAAATTAGTGTACTGTATATTATTTAGTAGTGTGAAAGTTATAGCGTCTACAAACCATGACAAATATATAAATAAAAAATTGATCACTCTTGATGTACTCATGACCTATCTCATTTCTTGAGGCCCTAAAATGCCAGGACAATACAAATACCCGCTAAATGACCCCTTTTTGGAAAGTAGACAGTCCAAGGTATTTAGTAAGAGGTATAGCAAGTTTTTGAAGTTGTAATTTTTTTTGTCACAGTTTTTTTAAAATTGAATTCAATGTGTTTTCTTTTCACAATTGTTTTTTACATACTGTGACAGTATGTAAATACATAACTAAATAATTTTTTTTTTTTTTTTTTTACATACTGTCTTTGGAGTAGTTCAGTATCTTTATAGTGATATTGGACTACTCTGGGGGGTGATCAGGGTTTTTTTTTTTACACCGTTATTGCTTATAACAGTGATGATGATCACTGTTATTAGCAATAGTTTTAATTTTCATGAATGGCTTTCAATCATGACAGTTTGCTTACTGTTGTCATGACAGCTTGCTCACTGGGCCTACAGCTATCACTTAGTACAGGTAGCCAGGTACTGATAGGAATCAGCCGATGTCTGTAGCCCCTGTCCTCATTATTTTTACCCTCAGGCCTGGGAGAAATAAAGCCACAGACACCGAAATGTGCAAGCTAAATCTCTGAAAGTTTAATGCATGACAAGAACTATTTTACAGAACTCCATAGGCGTTGCTTAATCTTAGGATGACCAATGAAACATTCCATTCTTATCAATATAGTTACGTGAAGATCAGAAACTGCAAATAGTTGAGGGACACCATATAAGGTAGTTCCGTTTACAGAAATTAAACTAGTCTAAGAAAACGAGAGAGAAGTTGCAAAACCAAAACTAACTTCACACGTCTAGAATGGAGGCATTATACAAAATGGATGCCAGTTAATAAGACATATTTCCTTATAGGTACTATGTGATAGCTGTGGGCTAATGACAGCATCACAACAGTAAGTAAGCTGCCATGAATCAAAGCAATTAATGACATTTTTTTTTACGTGTTATCATGTGATCGCTGTGATTGGTCATAGTGAGCATGATATCCCGGTTGCTCACAGCGGCTGGGTACTGAGCTGCTGTTCTGAAAGAAATGTACTGTGAGCAGGCAGCAAGTGGTTTTATTTTTGGATAGAGTAGGGAATGGTTAGAACATCTACAGTATATAATTATTACTGTTGAAATAGAAGGACAAACCCTAGCAGACGCAAACCAAAATCCAAAGGATTAGAAAGGTGTGGGTAGGACATTCACATAAGCATAGGTGTGAAAAGCCATGTGTTTTCTTTCACACAGGTTTTTTTTGCTGGCTGTGGAAAAATATTTCTCCTTTAGTTGTCCTAATAACCTATTTTTTTTTTTGGACCAGAAGTAACGGGCAATTCTGGCACCATTCGTACAAGGAAATCCAAAACTTTACAGACTGAACGAGTGAAATCAATCATTTCTCCCATCCATGCCAAGTGTGAATGGACAAATCTGTCCTGCCAGGCTATTGTATTCTGACAGCTGGTACCCATGGCTATCAGAATACTCAACAAGTGGTTGCATCTGATTGGATGCAGCCACTGATCAACCGTCAATTTCCTGCTGCTGCTCCTTTTGAATTTTGTATTGAAGGATGTTGGCAAGGAAGCTGCCAACAGGGCCATCCATGACTTGAGCTTTTGCCGGTTCATCTTTGTGAGTAGTACTGCTTAGACCTTGAAGAAGGAGACACTCCCCGAAAGCTTGTCCTCAAAATTGTATGTTAGTGCAAATAAAAAAAGTATCACGGACAGTACTCAATTGTTTCTGCCGGTTCATCAAGATCTGACCAGAATTTTATTCGGGGAGGTTTCCTTTCACTACCAAACTTTATAAAACTTTGACAAAAGGTTTTTGACAATAGACACACTACATTGCTGTCTCTGCAAAGCACTCCAAAAAAAACAGTTCTACTGTGCTCAGTTTTGTTGCATGAAATTCAAAAGAGCCATAAATAATTTTCTTGAGCCATTTCCAGGTGTCAGACCCCTTCCTGTCTTTCTAAATGTATATATAGCAGGAATGTGCTGTGCACTCATGACCTCTTTACATTCCTCACATTACACCCAGTAGACTGTTTCCTGCAACATCCAGATCATCCCTGGCTATACAGGCTTTTCAGAACATAGATGTGATATAGCAAATGTCCTGAAGTGTACCTGTCATCTCTACAGAGTAGCACCTGACATTGTATGCTAATTCTTTATATCAATGTTTACCATACACACTTCAATGTTCCATTTTTCTTTATTGATTGGATTTTTTCATTTCCTTAAGTGTCTTTTGAGATGCCTTTACTGTTTTGGTTGATGTGATCCCAACTGTTACCATATATTAATTTGATCAAGTTTTTTTTAATTGAAAAACAAAAAAAATGTAATCTTTCACACACACACGTCAATGACAATGAAAAATGGATATATTTTTACCCTGATTAAACTCGACCATCTTACGGGGAACTAGATTATATATCAGGCAAATAAGTATGCGTAAACAAAAGAGAAAACCATTATGGTTCCCTACAGAAGTAAGTAGGATAGTAAAGTAAAAAATATAGGCAATACAAGTAAATGAAAGGGGGTCTAATTTTAAAAAATATTAGTGGTACTGATGATGTTTGGCCTCCTGTCTGTTTTTACACACTTGTAGCACTACCCCCGCAGGAGTCGCTTGATAATGCTTGTCCCCAGTGGTTGCCCAGACCTTGCAAGCCTCCTAACACCTTTGATACTTTGGGTTCAGACCAGGGGTGGACTAAAAACTCATGGGGCCCCCCGGGCAATAGGGGATCATGGGGCCCCTGTTTCCTTGCCCAAACTCAAAAAAGCCTATGAAAAAGGTACCGGGGCATCTCATGTGGCCCCCTACTGACCGAGGGCCCTCGGGCAGTGCCCGAGTTTCCAAATGGTCAGTCCACCCCTGGTTCAGACATATTTCAACAGAACAGAATAATAATGCAAGCGAGACAATTCTTTAGTAACTCCTTTTTATTAGACTTGAACAAAAGAGTAGACCACAAGAATAATGGGTTTAGGATATACAAACCCAAACAGAACTCTGGTAAGATAAAGATAATCAATTAGCAACATTTAACAAATTACACAGTTATGAGTAGTAAACATCAACAATTAAACTGCATCACCAGCAGTAAGAGGGGGAAGAAAAGGCTTGTTGACTTATCAGCTCCTTCTAGTCCAGCAGCACCTTAATGGAGGATGCAGAAAATTATGTAAATATATACTCTGGTATAAATCGATATTAGTACCCTAATTTTAATAGCAATGGCCTTAGAAGAGAAGAGGCCCCATTTAACTAGAAATTGCAACTTTAGTCCTGTGATGTATAAAGTTCCAGATACGGTGATATCCATTGTCTTTTTCTAGCAATGGTGTGGCCCATAAACATTTGTGCTGCAACCCTTGTGAGGGCCGCTTGTATTTTGTGTAGTCCTTTCATCGGCTGGGTTTTATGTTTTGTTTTGTTCCCTGAAGAAGTGGGTTGCATCCCACGAAACGCGTTGAATTTACAAGCAAAAACCCCTCATCAATCAATTACTTGTTTTGCAACACCTATGAAATTGTCCAATTAGATTTTATTTCAACACCATTTATGTCTCCACTATTAACCATGCATTTTTATTTATGATTTTCAGTTTTTCTGTCCCTATGTAGTGGCTGAGGTTCGTTGTGGCTGACATTTGTGATGCCTTAGAATCTAGAGCATCAGCCACGACTTACCGCGACCTTTCTTTTTCTTTGATTGTAATTTTTTTTTTCATGTATATGCATATCAATTTTTTCCACCCATAGGTGGTTTTTTTAACTTAATAAAAGGTGTTCAATTTCATCTATTGCCTTTACGTGTTTACTATATTTCCAATGTTATGGTGTGGTACCTTCAAAGACCCATTAGCTTTTTTGTTTAGGGTTTTTTTCAAAGTAGCAGTCACAGTACTGGGCACTAGGGGGAAAATGATTAATCATCTCATCTGTAAATGTCCCTGAAAGGCATATTGTCATAGCTGGCATCTGGCTACACACTTCTGTATTAGTTACACTTACGATTCACAAAAAATTTGCTCTTCGAATGTTTCAAGCATTCACACAGTTATCACAAACAAAACCCATATTTTGCCTAATATGTTTATTTCTTATGATCAGAAGCTCCATCTAGTGTTCATACTTCATTCTTTTCCTGAAATACCTTAAACAGGAAAATACCACATTATAGCCAATAGATGGAGCTCATCATGGAAAATAAAGCTTTTAGGCAAAATACGGGGATTACATATCTCCCAACTGTCAATGATTTGGAGAGACTGTCAGTATATTGAAACGAAATCCCTCTGTCTCTCTTCCTTGTCTTAGGTGTAGACTCCCTACAAAATATTACACTACGGGGTGTATTTATAAAAAAAAAATTGCAGAGCTATTTACCCTGTAAAACTACACGTACATTCATTCAGTGTGATTGGGGACAAAATTGACCTGCGCTTTCAGAAAGCACACCAAAACCGTGGGATGTCATAGAACTCTCTGGGTAAGTGCAATTAACTTGCACCAAACATTTGGGTACACTGCGCTCAGTGGCATCCCGAGGCAGGTGCGGCAAGTGCGGCCCGCACGGGTGACACCGACCGCACGGAGTGACACCGGACCCGCTCCAGGAAAGGTAAGTTGTAAAGCAAGCCGACAATCCCCGCAGGATGGATCGGATCTGTGGATTGAGCATAATGGATCGGAGTCCGATCCATTATGCTCAATCCGCAGATCCGATCCATTTTGCGGGGATCGTTGGAGGGGGTGTCACCAAGTGTTACCGCATCGGGTGACACCAACCCTAGGGACGCCTCTGACTGCACTACACTAGTGGTGCACTACATCAGTGTGAAAGGGGCCTGAAAAATACACTTCAAAGAGTAGCCAGTGAAGAAGTGTATAAAAAACAGACAAAAGGAGGCCAAACATTATCAGTTCTGCTAAAGCACAGAAAAAGGAGGAAACCGCTAACTCAGTTAAAGCTGTAGTAAAGTAAGACTTTACTTTAGCTAAGTGTTTAAGGATGGCTGGGGGTAAATAGGTAGTAGAAGAAGGTTTTTTACTTTAATGCAGAGAATGGAAGTAGTCCAGCTGACCATCGATGGGATATGTGCTTGAATTTTTGCACCTGCATCATTGATGTCTATTTGAATGGGAGCAAATACAGCTCCACGCGGCTCCATGTATGATGGAGGTATCTGTCTATATATACAGTACAAGTGAATCTACATCCATAGGCAGTCTTGATATTTTCATTTTCCTTCTCTGGATTACATTCAGCTGCTCTCTTTCCTGACCGGGGCACTCTAAACCATACACATTCATTAAGGATGGCTTCAATGCAACCAATCCAGTGAAAACTACTACTTGGTCATTTCTATGTCCATCAGTTCATTACTTGATCTTTTGTACATTTGGGATCCTTATGGTTTATCCAGCATCAGGGGTGTCCCTAGGGTTGGTGTCACCCAGTGTGGTAACACTTGGTGTTACCCCTCCGACAATCCCCGCAGGCTGGATCGGATCTGCAGATTGAGCATAATGGACCGGAGTCCAATCCATTATGCTCCCCAATCCGCAGATCCAATCTATCTTGCGGGGATCGTCGGCTTGCTTTAAAAACTTACCTTTTCGTGAAGCTCGTGGAGAGATCAGTTAACCCCGTATAGGTTGCAAGCTGACGATCCACACAGGATGGACCGGATTTGCGGATTGGGGAGCATAATGGATCAGACTCCAGTCCATCCTGTGGGGATCGTCAGCTTGCTTTAAAACTTACCTTTTCGTGGAGCGGGTCTGGTGTCACCCCATGCGATAGGTGTCACCCGGTGAGGTGCGCACCCCCGCACCTGCCTGCCTAGGGACGCCACTGTCCAGCATACCTCTACAATACAGCAGCTGCATTTTTTTAGTGGCCACTCTTTTTCTTATATTTCTTTACCCTCTATGTCTGTCCCTCTTCTCTCAGAGCTCTCAGTCGAATTATTATCCAGGGTAACTACCTCTGACCCAGAAGATTCTTTTAATATTCTTTTAATATTGGTGTCTGTGTGTTATTTCAATTATTAAAAGTTAATTGTTGCTGTCAATGATCTCTGTAAATACTTTGATCACAAATGAGAGTTTTTTTCTCTGATATTTCAAATATTTTGGGTTTGAGATATTGAGCCAAAACCATTTTTTCTTTCAAATCTTTTTTATTACATTTTGTAGAAAGGTACAAAAATACAAGGTTCATGATAGAAATTGGGTACACACATCTCTTGTTCAGTACTACATTTCAAATACAGTCTTAAAGTTGCTTTAGCAGACATAAGATGGCCCATTGGCCATGAACAAAATATGCATAGGCCCGGTGTCGGTGTGGAAGTTGTACCTGACACCCTAGAAACAAGAGCAAAAATTTCTTGCCAAAACGGCTGCAGGCAAGGACACTTCCACATAATATGGAGAATGTTCCCTTCTCCGCCACAGTTCCTCCAACACAGTGGAGAAACGTTGGGGTCAGGGGCGGACTGACCATTCGAGCACTCTGGCACTGCCCGAGGGCCCAGGGTCAGTAGGGGGGCCCCATGAAATGCCCCTGGTACCTTTTTTATAGGCTTTTTTGAGTGTGGGCAAGGACACAGGGGCCCCATGATCCCCTATTGCCCGGGGGCCCCATGAGTTGTCAGTCCGCCCCTGGTTGGGGTACATTTTAGAAAGTTTGTATGGGGCAAGATAGCTTTGGTGTAGTATTTTTAAGGAACATTCCCAGTGATTGGTACATTTAGTGATGCTCAAATTGCTACCCATGGCATTCTCCCATTAATCTCATGTGAAAGATCTTTGCAGGTCCTGTCAGGAATGGACTTGCCAGTAATGGTGGGACTCACCTACCTTGTGGGCTGCAGTACCAGGGCTGGCCAGCGGGTGCTCCAGCAATCAGAGACTCAACCCTGCAGCCAGCCAAACACCTGAAGTTGATTATACAGGTGTATTTAAGGGATGGCCAGACCTGCAGTCTCTGCCTTGGTGTGTGGTTTTCCTGGGCCCTGTATCTTGTTCCTGCATCCCTGTTCCTGTCCCTGTCTGATTCGTTGCTGACCCTGCCTGATCCGGACCTCTGCTGACTTCTCCTGTTTCATCCCTGGCTTGTGATCCCGACCATTCTCTGCCTGACCCCCTGTACCTACCTGCCCAATTGTTATTGACCGGCCTACCTGACGACGCTTGCATTGTATGTACTGTTATCTGTGGGTGGTTTGGTTTGGTTCGTTTGCACTGTGTTATGTTTTAGTATTGCACTGCGTTTATGTTTGTATTGTTAGTCTTTAATAAATTATATTGTTTATAACATATCTGAAGTCTGCGTTTCCTGCGTCAGTCATTTCACATACCTCTGGTCACACCCCGGAGCCCTGACATTACACCAAGGCCAATCCTGACCAGAAGTGGCTGCACAGGGAAGCCATCTTGGCTTGTTGCTGGGAAGGATGGATCTTGATGAGGTTGTGTATTTATATCTGCTAGTGTTTTGATGACAGAGAGTATGCTTATCAAACTCTGAAGGAGTATCCCAGGGATGAACTGCTAGAATGTATACGGATCGCTCATTGCCTAGTAGATCAGTGCACAGAGTTCTCTGAGGTGCAGCTATTGATTCAGGTTTGTGCTGAGTTGGTTTCATCTGGTACCCCCGAATGCAGGGATGAATTTTTGCCCATTTAGTGCCGACCAGGTAGAGTCCCTGGTATGGTTACTAGAGGATGATGTGGATTACTTTCTGGAGCGTTATTCTGCATGTTCACCACAGGTATTAAGGGATTGTATAAACGCAGTGCAGTCATTGACCAGACAGGCTTTGTGTAAACTGAGCTTTGTTCAACCCATACTGCAGACATGGTCAGACTTGTTGCACCCAGCCTCAGTCAGC